AAAAAAAACTGTCATTCTGTTGTGATCAAGCACTCACTCCAGTGGTGTTTGAAATGATAAAGAAGTCTAGAAGCATTGGAATACACTGATCTTATAAATACTGTGTGGTGACACTTGATGGCGCTGCATTTGCATTAATAAACTGTTTTATACTACTCACCTGATTCCTTTTATTTACATAATCACACAGGTTAGTTCACCTTAAGCTGCATTTCTAGTTCATGTTGCACAAAAAAGGGTGTGTCTCAGGTCAAACTGCATGATCAGCATTCCTGGGCCTCGTCATTGATTTGTTTTGCTGCATAACAAAAAGTACTGTTCCTGAGGAGGGCAGGCCTGCGCAGGCTAATACTTGCGCAAAAGCAGGAAGAAGAAATTAGAGTTTAAACCCCATGTGAGTTGTACTGACAGTCAAAGCTGATGTCACTCTTGGAGGGCGATTATCTGGCTACACATCAGGTAAAAGCTGTTCATGAGCATTTTGCTGTCAATAAAGCTCAAAAAGGACTTAACAACATTATGTTATGTTTGGTTTTTCAGCTCTGTCTTGTAGTCTAGACACCTATTAATCAGAACCCTTTCCTTTTATATCAGATGAGTTTTTATTCCTTGTTATAACTGAACACTTAGGAAAATTACATAAACATTGCAGCGTTTTTCAAGCAGTTTGTTTAACCTGTGTTAGCTCTGAGCAGAAGTGGTGCTGCCTGTTCTTCTTACCTTCACACCAACTACAGCGTTCCCATCTGCTGAGACATGGAGTGTCAGTGTGAGAAAGACACCCCTGAGGATGCAGGTAGGCAAAATATACATAAAAAAATAAAAATTTACACACAAAAAATATGATATTGACTTTTTTTTTTTTTACATTTATTGGTCTTTTTTTTACTATCATATTCTGATGATGCATCTTTATTTCTGCAAAATGTATGTTACATGTAAAGTGTTGAGTTCAGGCATTGTAGTTAAGTCTTAAAAATAAGTGTAAACAATCAAAAACCATGTGACAGGTTTGGTCATTTATAACAAAAACTAATCAAACAATGTTAAAGAACCAGACACACTGTTTCCTGAAATATTCATTCTATTGTGATGCCAGCAATTAAAAATAAAAGCAGCAGCTCTAAGTGTAAAAGCTGATGCCTGCAGACCCACCACACATAAAACACTGTCTTTACAAACACAGCTTTCTTGGGATCCTTCAGGGGATTTCATTTCTATTTTTTTTTTCTAAATGTGGGTGAAAGGCTAAACTGATGCTAAGTTGTGAACAGCTCTGAACCGCTAATGTCATGTTTGCCTCCCTGCCTTCTCCTTGATAGGCTGGTGGATGAACACCAACAGTGTCCAGATGGGACTTTTTACCGTGGTGGGGTATCTTCTCTACAGGTTCTCACAGAGTCAGTCACACAGCAACACCCACACTTGTACTGTTTAATGACTTTTACTGAGTCTAGAAAATAAATAATGAATCTGTAATAGGGAATTATTTTCAGGTAGTAAACAGATGTTTTTAAATCTTACTAGTCTTTTTTTCCATTTCTTTTTCTTTTAAACTTCTCCTGTCCAGCACTTTTAGCAAACAGAATCATGGTCTGCTTTGTTGTGCCAAACACATTTGCATTGCCAAGAGGAGTG